AGCTAGATTCATCGTTGGTTTTTTACTTACTCATGTGAGTACTCAATGAGTAAAAAAATGCGTGAGTACTCGGGACATTTTTTAGCAGAGTACGACTTTGAGTACATTCACTTAGGTCTCAATGAGTTAAGTGAGATAAAAGGGACATTAAAGAGGACAGGATAAAGATAGTGCGCCGTTCTTTCTCTTACCTCTATAAGTGATCTTTTAGTGACTGATTAAAATTTCCATATCGAACTTGGTCTTGGTCAGACTATAGTATTAAACTTCCCCGCCATTGTTTCTCAAGATTCTAGAACATATCATGTACATTAGAAGAATTGAACTAAGATTTTGTGCATATTTGTAGATGCAAGGTATTTTTCAGAATATGAAATGTTTGCTTGAACAATTCTCATCTGTTCTTTATGATTATTCAAGTCATTCTTCTATACCAATATCAGTTAATAAGCAATCATCATCATCTTCAAACGATACAACTACTCAACAATTAAATTCATACGCATATTATGTTGACTTCTGACATTCATTATTCACTGATTTACTGCTCGATCTTGATCGTTCTTCGTATGACCAAGCTAAACAACAATTTATTGATGAATGTCGGTTGCTTTACAGCATACATGAAAAATATTTGGCAGTTATTAATGAATTTGTGAACAATTACACTCCTAAAGACGCTATTCATTGGTACATGCGTGATACATTTGTCTATCATTTATTGAATCGTGCTCTAAGACAACTAAATTTAAATGGTATTTTTAAATTTCGATTTTTCATTACCGATTTGTATGAACAATTGAAACAAGAATATGAACGTTATTTAGAAGATGATACTTATACTTCATATGAAGTCGATCATGAATCATTGATTGTTTATCGTAGTCAATTAATTGATGTATCAATGAATAGCGTCTTTAGGGGTGTAATTGTTCGATTAACCAACGTTTGACGGCGCACTATCTTTATCCTGTCCTCTTTAATGTCCTTTTTATCTCACTTAACTCATTGAGACCTAAGTGAATATACTCAAAGTCGTACTCTGCTAAACAATGTCCCGAGTACTCACGCATTTTTTTACTCATTGAGTAATCACATGAGTAAGTAAAAAACCAACGATGAATCTAGCC